GTGTTGTGGTGAACTGGACCATGCATGTAAAACAGTCAAACAAAAAATAACCTTTTAGGGCTTTAATTGAACATGTTATGATTCCACATCCTCAAATTCAGCTTTAACATCTTCACATGCATAATGCAAGATTTTTATGCCTTGATAGCCAAAACCCCTGTCTTTTTGCTCTCCTCCAGAAGCTTGCTGTTGGCCACTGGTCTTGAGGGGGGGTGGATGGCACATCACCCATGGGACTCTGCAAGCCAGGGTGATACACAGAGCACTTAGAAGCCCCTTCAGCTATCTCATGCCTCTACAAAGCCATTTAAAAGCAAGTCCTCACAGCAAGGCCTTACCAGATAGAAGCTGTGGAGGCAGGGTGTGAAGCTAGATGGGCTTTTAGTCTGCGTTGCAGTGGCTCTCCTTGCAGTCTGAGCAAAAAAATTGGACTCAGGCTTAAAATTTCATTAAACCAGTTGTTTGACAGAAACTTGGCATAGCTGCATCCACAGAGCTGCCTGTGGAAAGCAGATTGTTTTTTGTTGGAAAAACCTCTGACAAATTCCAGAAGCTACAAATTTGGGTTTCAGAAATGGTGTTCCTGCATGACATTAATTTCTTTTGTCTTTGTTGGACTTGATGATGGCTCACAAGGATACAGTCAGAGGGTGGTGTTGGTTGGTGTTTGATGTCTATTGGGCCACTTTCACCTCTGGCTGGGACTTCTTGACTGTTGTACGTCTCCAAAAAGCCATAGCAGCCATGCAGTGTCTGTGGTATGTGTGCTGTAGTGCATCCTGGGAAAGCTAGCCCAGCTGAGTCTTGGCTAACAAGAAATTGGAGACTATAAATTTGGCTGGCCAGCACTGCTTCATAGAGCACCATGAAGCCATTCAGCCATGGTTTGATATTAAACTGCTTGAACAACTTTTCCTGTGGTGTTTATTGCTGGGAGCAAAAGGCTTTGAGCGTGTGGGACCAAGATAAAACTGCTCCACTGGCTTCTTCTCAAACCTTTCTTGCTGGCCCTTTGACAGAGAGCACTTGTTTTCACGTGGGTGGCTAGGCAAGTAAACAAGTACCTAAAATTAGATTTGGAGCTCTTGGTGTTGGTGGTACTTTGTCAGCCTCTGGACCTGCTTCCTCACCAGTACAGCCCAGCCCTGTTCCATTTGGGGGATGAATTTTCCCTTTTTCTGTTGGAAATGTGTTTTTTTTCCTTAGGGTTTTGGGTTTTGGTGGTGTTTTTTCTTTTTTTCTTTGCTTCCAGGTTTTTATCTTGATAATTACAAAGACCTTTCTGTTCTAATTGCCAAAAAATGACAGATTCTCTGTAACCAGCAGCCTACCAGACTTTAGGTGGGCTGTTAAAGCTTTTGGAGTTGATCCCGAAAGCTGTGCATCTCCATGGTTTAGGAATGATGCAGTTTTATTTTTCTAACAAGCACAAATGGCATATTTTCTACATTATACCATCACCAGAAATGCAATAAAATACCAAGAGGCTGTTGCTACAGTTCTTTCTGTTCACAGAACTCCTATCGAAATCAAAGGTGGGCTTAGGACCAAAGGTCCTGTATTTGGCATGTGATGTCAGCTCCGGGTTATTTACATGCATATTCACCTCAGAAAAAAATATTTTTCAACTGAAACACAGCAACAGATGTTTAAAAGACCCCTGAAGACACTTTAAATGAAATGGAGATCAGGTCTGAATTCTACTGAAAACAGTGGAGAAGACTGTATGGCTTGAGGGACCTCTGGATGGTCCCTACCATCTAATGGCTCTCAGATCCCACAGATTCCAGGACAAATTCCTGCTCCTGTTTAAATTCATCCGAGCTGTGCCAGTGATACTAGGGTTTAACACCTGACTCAAAAACAGCTTTTTGTGGCAGGGTTGCTTCCAGTCCATGAGAGTGAGTGCAGTCAAGTCCCTGCTCATCTTGCATCAAAGGGAGATGCTGGACTCCACTGTCCTTGTTGGGTTTTTGTTTTGGTTTCTTTTGCTGGAGTAGTTCTGCTTTCTATAAATAACCACTGGAGCAGAAGCTGCATCTACTGGCCTTGCCCTGAGCTGACCTAACAACAGGCTGCTCTTGGTGTGTCTTGGTTTTTGTGAAACTTTTGCTGAAAGAGCCTGGGTTTGTGATGATGAGGAAAGGGGAAGAACATCTGAGCTATCACAGAATGGTCAGGGTTTGAAGGCACCTCAGGAGATCATCTAGTCCAGCCCCACTGCCAAAGCAGGATCACCCAGAGCAGGTTGCACAGGGAAGCATCTAGGTGGGTTTGAACATCTCCAGAGAAGGAGACTCTACAACCTCTCTGGGCAGCCTGTCCCAGTGCTCCATCACCCTCGAAGTAAAGAAGTTTTTCCTCAAAAGTTTTTCCTGTCAGAAAGTGCTTGCTGTGAGCTGGGAAAGTGGCATGGCTGGGGTCCTGTCTGCCATGGGACCTGCCATCAGAGCCACTCGTGGCCTGACCCAAACGCTGTGAGAGGTTACTGAGAGCATTTTGCAGCCTCTCAGGATACCCCTTTGGGCAAGGTGCCTCACGGCTGCCCAATTTGTGCTCTCTTCCACAAAAGCTCTGGAGATACTGAATCACTGCTGTTAACAGCGTCATGGGAAATAAGTCACTGCAGAGCGGTGTTCCCCAAGGCGTGAGACCAGCAGAGTGTATCTGTTGTAGTATTTGCATTATACAGCAGGGGTGTTTTCCCACTGCTGCACATGAACCTTAATTTATACTGTATTTAAATTTCATACTGGAAGGCTGACTTTCAGAGGCTCGGAACAGCTGCAGCT